ACGCCCCCCCTCCCACACACACACAGACACAGACACACGCCACATTTGGTGCCCGACACTCACGACCCCATGTGTAGCCCCGGCTCTTCCCTTCGGTGGTGTTGGCCCCAGCGGCATGGGCCGCTACCACGGCAAGTTCTCCTTTGACACCTTCACCCACGACAAGGCCTACATCACCGGCCCCACTGTGCGTGCCTTTCCCCCTCTGTTTTGTGCTGTCGCGCCCCGGTTGTGATGCTAACCTTGCTTCCTCCCCCCCCCCCTCGGCCCCCCTCTGGTCGCCTACGTTTACTGGTCCCGCTCCCAGTTTGTCGAGAAGATCCTCGCTCTGCGCTACCCGCCCTTCCCGGAGTTCTCCATGACCATGATCAACCTTCTGGTTGCCAAGAAGGTCCCCTCCCCCCTCAAGATCTGGCTCAGCAAGCCGGCCACCCGTCGGTGCGTTGTCCCTGCGCGCAGCAATTTCCCCCTTCCCCTGCCCTTCCCCCACCAATGCGAGAGAGAGAGAGAGAGAGGAGTGGCAGCGGGCAGCTCTCGGCCCCTTGCCACCCGAAGCCACATCCGGTGCCGACTCACAGCGCCTGCTCCCCCGCCCCCCCCCCCCTCCGACAAACACGCACACTATACAGCTCCATCATGTATCTGGTGCTGGCTGCTGCCATGGCTGCCTGTGTGTACCGCATCGAGACTGCCACTCCGGGCTTCTGGTCCGGGCTGCTGGTCTTCTTCGGCATCAAGAAGTGAAGAGCCCGGCCCGAATGTGCGTGGCCATTTCACCACCAACCATGCATCTTGCTCGATGGCGCACCGTCTTTTCTTCATCTCCCCTGCCATCCGGGCCAGAAAAGGGCCACGGCGTGGAGGAACAAAAAGGGGAGCGCCTGACGCGGCGTGCTCAAAGAGCGTGCCCGGCTTCTCCGACAAAAGGCAGACACAGAACGCGCGCGCACACGCACGCACACAACGCACACGCACACACAAGCATGTATGCCCCCCGAAATATACTCTGACCTCGGTCCCAGAATGCTGAGAATGTAGCACCATTGGTCGCAAACATGTGTATGTATCATGTGCTTTTTGGAATGACGTTCTCTTGGAATGGACGCTATACCCTAACGAACTGGGGTTTGGGGCTCGGATTTCGCCGGTTCTTCGGGACGCGGGGCGCAGACAAGATTGTCTGGCTCCTATGCGGGAATGGCACCCGCAACAAGAGGGCCACCCAGGGCCGAAATGTGGGGGGGGGGGCGAGCGCGAGGCCCGGGCGCGGAGAACGTATCGAAGCGCCGTTGCCCGCAGTCGCTGGAGATGGGGGGCCGGTGAAAGGCAGGGCAGGGAGCGGCCGGGGGAAATGTAAACCCTAGGTCTCGGGCGTGGATGGGCTGCGCTGACATGACAAGCCCGAAGAGGAGGGGCCTGCGAGCTGGGTGCGGGGTGGGGCAAGTAAACCGGCCGGCCGGCATTACTCTGCAATGCAATTGCCAATCTAGAGATCGTGGCATTCTCCCCCGCCCCCGCTCCCTTGCCAGGTTGCTCGTTAGCGAGCCACCAGCAGGCGAGAGCCAGCGTCAAGACGGTCGAACCCTGTGCCGAAGGTCTCTCCTTTGGGCGCCTGCAGGGGGCGACGGGGCCGCTTGTCGAGCGCCCGAGCGCGACTCCGAGAGGGGAGACAAGGTCACACAGGGGGAGGCCGGCCCCAGGAATGTGGGCCCGGGTGGATTCCTCTCGCCCCTCCTGTGCAAAGGGCCGGCCACTCCTCGCCCCCCCCCCCCCGGGGTGGCGGGGGAGAGGCGGAAGCCTGCTCAAGCATAGCGGATCCATTTGAACAGGCGCGGGGCGAGGGAGACGAGGTCGATCGCCCGCGCCCGCACGCATGCACATCCCGAATATCCGGGCAGCCAGCCGGGAATGCCCGGCCTCGCTCGGCTGTCCAGCGGGGGGTGGAAGGCAGGGGCAACAATGATTGGGCCTCAGCTCTCCCCGCTTCTCCCTGAGCGGCGAAAATCCGCGTGCCTGTACCGACCCGGCGGAAGAAGCGCTGGGGTGATGAGAACGGGAAAAGGGTCATTAAATATTATGGGCTGGATATGCAATACGAAAATGTTGCTCCCTGCCGGGCTTTCCGGAGTACCCGCAAAAGGGGAGAGCCGGGGACCGGGCCCGGTGCGGCTTCCGACCGAGCGTCGGGGCGCACCGGGCCGGAGACGGCCCCCGGGGAGGGGGGACGGCGAGTCCCAAGCTAGCAAGGCACCACGGCGGGCGTGTCACGATCCCTCGTATGTGTAGTTGAGAGCACGCCGGCCCGAACGGCACCCCGAGGGTGGATGGAATGCCTCGCAGCGGCCACCGGCTCCGGTGGATCGGCTACCGGGCACACCGGCGTTTCCAGAAAGACTCGCACGCGAGGAGGCCGCTTGTTTTGATTGCCCGGGCGGGTGTGTGCGCGCGCGCGCGCGCGCACGGCGGATCCTGACTCCGTTCGGTGCCTTTACTTTGCCCCCGAGTTCGGCGACTTGCCCGGTCGACTAGGCCGATCTCTCCTTTCCCCTTCCCCGGAGGGCACACATCAACAGGGCATGCTCTCAGGTGGGCGCGCGGGCGCGCGGGCGTGCGGGCCTGCGGGCGGCGTCAGCGCCTAGGAAATATGCTCGCCCAGCCTCCCTCCCTCGTGCCGGATAGGGGCTGGCCCGGGAAGCCGAAGGGGGGCTCGGGGGAAAAGGGGGGCGTCCTGGACTGGGGGCGGGGGCGGGGGTGCGCCGGGTGCGAATGTGAGGAGCAGGCGCAAGTGCAGTGCGCATGTACGTGTGCCCGTGCGCTGGCCCCCTGGTGCCTTGTTATCCCCCCCCCCCCCCTCCGGGGAGCAGCTGGGGGCCTGGCGTGCGAAGTGGGGCATGCCTTTGTCGCTCTCGCCTCTGGCAGCAGCGGCGGTGGCGGCGGCTGGTTTTTGTTGTGGTGTTTTGATTCCGCACCCTCCTCTGGCGCCCGGGCGGGGAAGAAGGG